GCAATGCGTTTTTGAGGCTTAGTTGCATGCTGGCGGTGGTTTTAAAGGCTTTCACCCATCTCTTGGGAGGCGAACCCTGCATTCGAACAGGAAATTCGCCCCGCAGATTGTCGTCAGGACGCTGGCTGTGATGTCAGCAGGTCGTGGACCTTGGGGTCTGATTCAACCCAGGAGCCGGGCTGTCAGAGACCTTTTTTTTGAACAGTATTTTGACAAAGCTTCCTACATTTTCCAAGACCTCGGGCCAGCAGGACTCTGCGTTCTGCAGACAGCAAACAGTCAGCCTCGGGCCTAGAATGCTGGAATTGTTGCGCGACATGTTCAGCCCGCACGTTGGACAAGGGGGTGCATAACCTTGACATAGTGGTTCTATCAAGATTGAACACCCCCCCAATTTCAGCAGGGGAAACCCATCGTAGATAGCGCATCGTGTTTTTTCCTCAAAACTTGCTTGCTTGCGACCAGGGATGGAGGGCGTGCGCTTGCTCCAAGGTGACTGTGGCTCGGAGAGTAGTCACCAGTGACCTGGCCGCATTTTGATTTTGGGCGCTGGGCTTGGCTGACAGGATTCTATCGGACTTGGATGCAGCGACGGAACAGCGTGGACTTGGTACCCTATGTCAGGTACCCCTTTATCGATCGTTTGGATTGGTGGCTTCGGGATATGAACACTTCTTTGTATAACCAAATGGGGAAGATACCCACAACCTCCAAAACACCAATTCAAGCAACCAAGTAGGGGGAAGGAGACCATGGGCATCGACGGGGGTTGGAACCCAAGAGTCGTGCGAATGCCAGGGTTTGAATCAACCCGACGGACTGCAAACACTGAACATAGAACCCAAGCGAAGCGATTAAACTAAATTAGAGGAACCTCCAAATGGGGTCCTCCCCTTTGTGGGGTTTCAAGTTCATCCCCAAGCTTTGTTTCCGCGCTTACAATAGCCCAGGCCCTTGTACGCGGAGTCCCACGACCACGTGGCGACCATTTTTGCCGTGCTGGGCTCGGCGTCCGGGGTGAACCCCGCCCATTTTTTTCCGTTCGAAGCACTCCTGAGTAACCTGGAAACCGGGGCTTGGCGCCCTTTGGTTGGCGCCCTCCCTTTTCGGGGTGGAAAGCCCAACCCAAACCTCGGTAGTTGAAGATTAGTGGGGGACTTCCGTCCCAGATGGGTGAGGAGATTTGGTCCGTGCAACCTCCCAAGCATTTCTTACCCTTGGCAGTCCAGAAAACACATCAGCAGATTCATTCAGGAGATCCTCGAATCCAGCATTTTTTTTTTTTTAATCATGGGCGTATTCTTTTGGCATCTCCTAAGCTTTCCAGCCACAACTCGAGGAATCTCCTTTCGGGGACCCTTGAGTTTTCGCTCAGACATTCTTCGGGACCGAAAGCTGGTTCGAACAGCTCGAACCTAAAACAGAGCCCTTAAATCTGTGTCAAGGGAATTGACCAGTTGAGTCCCAGGAAAGCCGGCTTTACTCTTCGTTTGCTTCTTTTATTCTTTTTCTTCTTTTTCTGAGGACATCAAGGATTTCACCCCGATTTCTGAAGCGTGCGGCCCTGCTGCCAGGCTCCCAGTGCAATCTTTTGGACGGCAAGCACTGGAACCGATGCAACAGGGAGGGGGGCCTTTCTTGTGTTCGTAAGGTTCATTCAAGACTCCCCCGAGGAATTGTGAAACCCCAGATTTGTAGGGGCGCCCGGATTATCCTTGAAAACTCCGGCTTTGGGGGAGTTGTGAAGAGAATTCCTGGATGCCAGTGACACGCGCTTAAAAATAGAAGGGGTTTCTACTACATGTTTTTTTTTGGGCGGGGGTTGGGGGGGGGGGGGGGGGGCATGTTTTGCCTATGAATATTTGCAAAGTTTGCTTTTTTCATTCTTCGGTTTTCCTTTAAATCCATTTGGTACCTGGGTTCCTCCAGTTTTTTTGGCCAGCCACAAGGGTGTGATGCGAATGCTGAACCAGCTCTTCAAGAAGTTTGACGACATAATGGAGCCTCGGCAGCGGATAGCGTTGCTTTCTCAGAGCTGGTGACCCCTCCAGCCACAGGTAGGCGGTTTCTGTTTGGTTCCCTTCTGCAATGCTGCAAGGAAATCCCCCATTCCTCGTGTTGAGACAAAACCCTACTAAAGCGTCTTGCATCTTGCGCATTTGGGCTTCCTTCATGCCCTATTTTTTACAGGGCAAAGGCTCACTTTTCGCAAGAGCCGCGATCAATTCGTAAGGTGCGCTAGACTCCTTTTGATTACCAGGCTTTGCTCATGTCTTTCAGTGGGCATCATGCTGGCTCGGAGAAGGCGGAGATCGCTGGTTTTACGTCCAGGGGAGCTGGTTGTAATGTGCGCAGGTGCACATTGAAGGTTCCTTTTCAGGACTTCTGGTGGTGAACCCAGATTGACTATAGGCAAAACATGGATTCGGGTTGCACCTCAAAATCACTTTTCGGAGGTTGCATTTAAGCTACCGTTCATCTATGACTAGTACCGTCCGGATCATTCCGATGACAGGGATACATCATGGCGCCCTGACATGGGAACCTCCATGGAAGTCTGGACCATTCCTACCCTCCCACAACGGACGCTCACCAAATTCTAGAGAAAGAAACAGGGAGGTGGAGCTCGAATGGATCATGTCCCTTCCGCAGGGCGTTGCCGATGTGATCACCGGTTTTAGTGCATGGATACTTTGACTGCGATCGCCGCGCTTCGTAGGAGGCGTTTCATCCGATGAGCTACAAGGCGGGTGCCGCCGTCGCTGCTGCCCACTTTTGCATCGATTTGCGGAGCGCCTTCCTCGACCAGCAGTTCTTCGCCATTTTTTTTGAAATCAGCATTGGGGAGAAGCGCACGGTTTGATTGGGTTTGCTTGTTCGTTGGTGGTATTTGTGGAAATGTCAGGAACCATGCAAAGGACCCCTGTTGGCAAGCTGTTCCTTCCTCTCTATCAATCCGAGCTGCCGCTGCAAACTTGAGCTGATCCTGGGAACCCGAACAACCTCCCGGGGATTGTTCAACAAAAAACATATGAGAGGGTCGCCGCTTGCACATGGGGTTTGTGGCTATCAAGTTCTCATTTGGGTGTGGCTCCAAATTAAACAGGAGGGGCCAACCGCAGGTTTTGGTCCATGTTTCCACTTAACAGGGCCCCATTTTGGAATTCTGGATTTTTGAGCCACAGCCATTTGTCCTGACTTGATTGTGAGAAGCCCCCAGTACTGCGGTCCTGCTTTTGGTTGGAAGTCTCCGCGTCGCTTAGCAACGATGTCAGGTGGAAACCGTGGGAGACTCCTATGTGGTGGCCTGCGGCCTGCTTCCAGACTGTGACACAGATCCCTCAATCATCGCGCCTTGTCTTGCCTTCCAGCTTTCTGTGTTTTTTTTTTTGTTCCCTTTCTTTCTTTCTTTCTTTCTTTCTTTTGTTTCTTCTGCTTTCTCTTTTAGTTGAGGAGAACTGTGATTTGCACCCAAATGCAATAGTTGCATTTTAAATGAGCTAAATGAATTGAGGCTTGCCGCGGGCCTTGAAGGAGACGCGTCTCTCTTCAGTTGCTCTGCCTCCCCGCATTTGGGTCTGTCTCAAAATGATGGACGCCCTGTTGGCTAATACTACAGGGAGTCCAGGAACGCCAACCCTTTTTGGGGACCACTACATTGCAGTAGACGCGTTTGTTGCTCTTTGTCTTGAGCGTGAAGTGAGTATGATGTACGAAGGGCGGGCACGGGGAGCGTTGAGGATCGGATCCCATCCCCATGGAATCCATGGCAGAGAGGATATTGGCCATAGCACAGTGTCCAAAAACCATGAAAGCAGTCAACTAGGTAAGGCTTGCAGTTTTGAAGTGGCAACAGCCTTGACATATCTCAGTAAGGCAAGATGCGACGCATTCCGGGCTGCTGTAGCATTTGATCACGCGCAAGAGCGCCAGCGTGACGCGCGCCATCGCAGAAAAAGATCTCGAGGTTGATGGTCTGCCTGCCGGAGCTGGCCACTCCCGGGCGAAGAGCGAGAACGCTAACGCTGTTTGTAACATTTTGCGCGCACTGTTTCCAAGTTGTTGAGGAGCTGCGCAATACTCACGCAGATACATCCGGGCCAATCGGTGACAGGGCTTACGGGACCGCATGCCGGCTTATCTGCAAAGGAGAGGAGCTTACTGTTGTTTGTTGTGCAACATGAACCACAATCGCAACTCGCAAAATGACTCTTGGGGAGGGACAGTCCCAACCTTTTTGGTTTGGTACAGCCCTTTAGTATCATGACTCAAACCGACCGACCGATTTGAGGCCATGCATTCCATCCACATCAGCGCCCTAATGTTGAGAGCTGCAAGAGAGGTGCTGGTGAACGAAGCGCCCTGGCCGGACTCTGGGAATGGACACAGTTTGTTAGGTGTGGTTGGCCGAATGGCTAGTGGCAAAAGTTGCGAGGGTTTTGCAAGCTAGGACGGGGGTTTGCCAGGGGGCGAACTAAGGCCAAAACCAAGCACTTAGCCAACTGGTCCAAGTTGGGGAGCAGGCTCCATACCACCCTAAATATTGCCAATAGGGGTGCTGGCCCTCATGCACTGGTAAGAAGCCAAATTGTTGTCAACCCCAAAAGAACGAACTGTTCCTCTCTTACCCCCGTGTGGAGGGTTCTGGACATATTTTGAGCACGCCTTGCCTGAGTTGGCCAACTTTCAGCCAGGGAGGTCCAAAAAAGTTTCGTCAGCGCCCAGGAGCCTGTGCAGCTGCGTGTGGGCATCCATATGGGCCCCCTGATGATGCTCGGCTGGCGTCGCTTTTGCCTGAAACGCGGGCGACCGCCCGAAGTTCTTGTTGCAGCTTCCGCCTAAACTCGATTGGGCCCCACGTAAAGCAGGCCCTTTTGCCACCAGAAAGTTGGGGTATCTAGTTCCCATGGTGAACTGTGCCTCTCCTCGGTTTCAGGCCGGTCCATTCACCAACTTGAGACACAATGAGTGCACCCAACAGCCCCTTAGGGCCATAGTAGCTGGTTTCAGAGAGGGGCCTTGTCCAGTTTATTTGTAGCCATGATAGAAACAACAGTCAATGGCTTTTTGGGGCGTCTGAGAGGACAAGGAAAAGTGGGCCTGGTTTTGGTGGGACATTTCGTGAGTCCCATGTCCTTCCCAAATGAACTTGGACATTCTTGGCCGCGGCTCATGCAAAGTCCTGCTGGAATGTCTGACTTTTTACATGAAGGAACCTGGAGTTCCCATTTATTCGCACGATCTTTGAATAGGAGCATTTCATTCTTTTGGATTTCAAGAGACACCGAAGAGCCATATCCAAATCCAATTGAACGCCAGCACTTTGCTTCTGTCTGAAGCAAGGGGCATGGTTTTCATTCACAAGGTTTAAAGCTTTCTCCTCAACATGGAGGCCAATCATGGCGATCCGGGCTGGTCAATATTCGGGCGTCATCTCTTGTGAAGGGAAGCTCCCATGTCAGGGGATCCAGGGACATTATTTCTCGTTGATTGAAACATCACTCTTTGATCTGGCGGTGATTATTGATTTCCCCCTTGAGTTTTTGTTTTCTTCTTCTTTTTTGGTCGTGTTTGTTTTCGATCCATGTTGATAATCAAGAACCCGATTTACACTGAAACTTGGACCTATGCCGAGTGGCAGCGCGCTTTTGTAGCCTGGGGCTTGTGTTGCGAATGGCAGAAGTCTTCGGGTGACCTGACCAAGGAGCCTACGGCTTAAGCCTGAGCCTTTTTAAGGCTCTTAGGCGTTCGGGGGAGGATTTGAGGGACTTGTACGGAAGGGGATTAGCCACGTCCGTACCAGGGAACCTCCTCCCACATTGCAGAGATGGTTGCAGACAGATCCTACAAACTCGCTCTTGTGCCAACGACTCGCAAAACCACCATATTCAGTTCATCTTTTGAGGACCTCCTCGCCGTGTGGGTTCTTCCGTTGCGCAAGCGCGCCATTTGCGGCATCGATCCGAATCTGAGGAGCGGCATTGTTGGCAAGCGCGTGCCGCGGTTTTGCCTGTTTGGCGACACCGTGAATACTGTGCCGCGGCGGAGGATTTTCGGGTGGAATAAAGGGAACCCTCATGGGATCCCATTTGGTCAGGGGACCCACAGATTCCAAAGAACGGGTCCAGTTTGCACCATCATTTTTTCTTAAAACATGGTTGGCCCTTTGCTTTTGCAGGCCCTCTGATTTCTGACCGGGAGCAGTTGAGCAATCAAACCCGAATCGGGTAGAAGGTTAGACAACTCTTGTCCTGACCAGAACATGCATCAAGTTTCCACCCTGATTCATCAAATCGAGCTGAGTCCACCGTAGACTTCACCCTGAAAGGCAGGGCTACACGGCTAGTTGTTTGATGGGACGGAACAGGGCCTGTCAAAGAATACATTTGGGTCAGTCAAGTTATTTTTGCCAGCTGATTTGGAGGAACCCCCTTAAACCAGCCCCTACAGGGCCTACACCACTGGCACAGCCACGAGCTCTTATAACGTGGCTGCCCTTGTGTAAGCGTCACAGCTCCAATTTTTACTATTTGAAGTCACGCACATTGCAAGATGAATCTCCTGGACTCTTTTTACAATAAGATGGCAGTAGTTTCCCTGGTTGTGTCGGTGTCCCACTACGGATTAAGATTGGGGATGCCCCCATTTTGAAAGACACGGTTTGCAATGCGCTCACAATTCGAATGTAATGAGAGGCATCAGTTTCATGTTGGCATTCATCGCAATTCATCTCAACCCTCCACTGAAAAGGAGCATTGACTTCGCGGAAAGGGACACCACAAGGGGTTTTCATTTGGTTTGCAGGTGCTTTAGATAGGCTTTAGATAACCGTCAAAAGCGTTCCTGCGAACAGTTCTACAGCAAGATGATGCAAGTAAGGAGTTTGATGGATAATGGCAAGCTTGATTGTTTGGGCAAAGGATATATCAGCTTTTTTTTCACTGGAGTTGAGATGTGACGGAAGGCCTACATTCGGTTAGCATGAAGGGAGCTCAACACGGCCCCAAACCCAAAGGGTTAGGACTCAACCTGCTCAGATGTGCGACCCACACATTTTTAGCCGACCTTGGCTACAACAGGGAAAGATGTGACTGATCAGATAGATGTAGGTGATATGCCCTTCAATTCACGCAAACCCACAAACACACATGAGCTCTCACAGACACACACAGAAGCACACAAACACACACAAAAGCAAAGACACACACACACACAATTTACACACAGACACACAAACACACGCATGCACAAACACACACGCACACACATAAGCCCCCACACACACACACAAGCTCACAAAAGCAAGCTCAGAAGAACACACGGACACACAAGCACACACACAAACACACACACACACACAACACACACACACACATACTCCCACACACACACCTACACGCAGACACACACACACACACACCCCACAACCACACACCCACACACCCCCACACCCACGCTCCCACACTCCCACCCACACACCCACACACCCACGCACCCACGCACCCACGCACGCACGCTTGCAAGAACGCGCGAACGCAAACGCGCAAACGCACACAAACGCACAAAAGCAGGCAAGCACGCAAACGCACAGGCGCAAACGCGCGCACGCGCACACGCTCACGCATGCACACGCGCACACTCGCCTCGCTCATGCGCACACACGCACACGCGCGAACGCGCGCGCACGCGCGCGCACACACACACAAATACGCGACACGCACAGACACGCACAGACACGCACAGACACGCACAGACACGCACAGACACGCACAGACATGTACAGACACGCACAGACACGCACAGACCTGCGCAGACACGCACAGACCCGCCCAGACACGCACAGACACGCGCAGACACACACACACACAGACACAGACACACAGACACAGACACACACACGCACACAGACGCACACAGACGCACACAGACGCACACAGACGCACACAGACGCACAGACACACAGACGCACAGACGCACAGACGCACGCACACGCACGCGCACGCGCACGCGCACGAAGCGCACGCCGAAACGCACGCGCGAGCACCCCCACCCCCCCCTACCCTTGCCAGCAATCACCGCACCGCACCGCACCGCACCGCACCGCACACCGCACCGCACCGCACCGCACCGCACCGCACCGCACCGCACCGCACCGCACCGCACCGCACCGCACCGCACCGCACCGCACCGCACCGCACCGCACCGCACCGCACCGCACCGCACCGCACCGCACCGCACCGCACCGCACCGCACCGCACCGCACCGCACCGCACCGCACCGCACCGCACCGCACCGCACCGCACCGCACCGCATGCACGCACGCACACACGCACGCACAGACAGACGCACGCACGCACGCAGCCACGCCCCCCACGCACGCACAGACGCGCGCACGCACAGACGCACGCACAGACGCACGCCATACAGACGCATGCCATAAAGACGCACAGATGTTCGCGCAGACACACAGACGCACGCGCAGACGCACAGACGCACGCACAGACGCACAGACGCACGCACGCACAGACGCGCGCAGACGCACGCACAGACGCACGCACAGATGCACAGACGCACGCACACACACACACACAGACGCACGCACGCGCAGACGCACGCGCGCACAGACGCACGCATGCACAGAGGCAGGCACGCACAGACGCACGCACGCACAAACGCACGCACGCACAGACGCACTCACGCACAGACTCACGCACGCACAGACGCAAGCACGCACAGGCGCACGCACGCGCAGACGCAGGCATGCGCAGACGCACGCACGCACAGATGCACGCACAGAATCACGCACAGACGCACGCGCAGACGCACGCACAGACGGTGACGCACGCACGCACACACGCACGTACAGACGCACGCACAGGTGCACGCACGCACGCGCGCACGCACGCACGCACAGACACACACACACACACAGGCACACACACAAACACACAGACGAGACACACAGACACACGCAGACAAAAACACACACACACACAGACGCACGCGCAAACACAAACACACAGACATACACACAGATGCACACACACAGACACAAACACACACACACGCACACACACACACACACGCGCACACACACACACACACGCAAGCGCACACGCACACGCACACGCACACGCACACGCACACACGCACACACACGCACACACACACACACACAAAAACACACACACACACAAAAACACACACACACAAAAACACACACACACACACACACAC